CTACTATATAGTTCCAGATCATTTTCATCACCTCCAAAAGAAACCACAAGCCCATTAGCCTCACTATCCATTTACACCTTCCTCCTACATTCAGGTAACCACTAATCTACTTCCTGTCTATACTGATTTGCGTACTCTGAACTTTTCATATAAATGAAATCATATAATATCTCATCTTTTATGAGTGACTTCTTTCACTTAGCATATTTTCAAGGTTATTCCATGTAGTACTGAGCATCAATCCTCCTTTCTTTTTATTGCCACATAATGTTCCATTGTATAGCTATATCACATTTGGTTAACCATTCATCAATTGATGGATACTTGTACTATTTCCATTTATTAGCTATTATGAATAACGCAGTCATAAACATTTGTGTACAATTTTTGTATGGATATATGTTTTCAGTTCTTCTGGGTATACACCTTGGCATGAAATTGTTGGATCATTAAGTTTTGAGGAACTGCCAATTTCCAAGTCATCTACACACACAATCCTACCGGATTGTTTGACTATTCTAGGTTCTTTGAATTTCCATATGAATTTTATTATCACTTGACTTGACAATTTCTGAAAAAAAATCCCAGCTGAGATTTTGACAGTTGTTGCAATGAATGTGTAAACTGATTTGGAGGTTATTGGCAATTTACCTATATATATTCTGACATATAAACTTCGGGTGTCTTTGGTTTTGGCATCAGGGTGTATTGCTGGTCTCACAAGAATGAGTTGGGCATGTTCCCTCCTCTTTAATTTTTTGTAAGAGTCTGTGACAGGACAGTGTTAATTATTTAAATATTTAGTAGAACTCACCAATAAATCCACCCACACATGGTCATTTTTTTGTGAGATAATTTTTCAACTACAAATTCAACCTTTCTATTTGTTACAGGTCCAGTAACCTGTTCTATTTCATCAATTTCAGTAGTTTGTATCTTTCTAGGAATTTGTTGATTTCATCTGTGTTGTCTAATTTTTTGACATAGAATAGCTTGTCAGTGTTGCTTCTGTAAAGTTGATGGTAATTGATCCCTATTTCACTCCTGATTTTAGTAATTTCTGCAGTGGGAGAATAGTCATTAAAGGGTAGGAAGAAGTTGAACTCTTGCCTCTCTTCTGGTAAGAGGAATGGTGACTAAGAAAACTGGCTAGAAAAGGAAGGAAATAGGCCTGCAGAACCACCATTTTCACTACCACGACCATCAACAACAGCATTCCTTTCCCCACCATTACCATAAAGGTTGGCTTAGAAATTGAATGCAATATTCTTCAATAATGTCTAGCAGTCCCAGAGCATTAAAAGAAGAATCCAACAAAAATTAACTACCCATAGAAAATTTCAAGGGAGAAACAGCAAAAAGTTAAGAAAAGGGAAAGAGAAAGGCACTACGCTAGATGTGTCTCAAGTCTTACAATTTTTTATCATTATCATTTTATTAATGAGAAAATTGTGCTTCAGCAAGGTCAAGTAAGTCAAATTTCCTAACACTATTATACACTTTCTTCCAAAAGGATTATAAACTTCTAATGAAGGTGGACAACATGGATCAAAAGGCTTAAAATGGTTTGTATTTGATTAGCCAGTGAATGCACTTGATTGAAAACCATGCCTAAAAAATAATCCTGAATATAAGGGTAGGAAACTTTATGCTCAAAGGTAGGCATTCAACATAATTAATAATAATGAATAATTGAAAACAAAGAAAATGCCCAGTGACTGGGGGATTATTTAAGTATATCCATTAAAAAAGAGCAGTACACAAAATTTTATTAAGATGGCAAAATGCCTATGGTGAAAAGTTATATGAAAAAAATAATACAAAAAACATAAATAAAATATGATTGCAACTGTATAGAAAATCATGTTCAGGTAAAAAAAAAAAGGAATGGAAGGAAATATAACAAAATAACTGTGTTTCTTTGAGTGCATAAACTTTAGAGTCAAGAAAAACTGATTTAAAATCACTCTTAAGCAACTTTCTAGATATACTATCCTGGGTAAGTTTTGTTACACCTCTCTTAGTTCAGTCTACCTCCTTAGAATTGCACTGAAAATTATATAATGTATGCAAAGCATTTTGCACATAGTAAGTACTCAGTAAATGACAGATATTTATGTTGTTTTCTCTATTTCCATATTTTTATAAAAAGTACCTTTTTATTATAATGCAAAAATACAAAAACACTCAATTTTTATCTTTTAAAAAGAAAACTGCCTAAGACAATACAGCTAAATAAATGGACAGTTCAGAATCTGAACCCAGATCCAGAGCCAACTCCAAGGCTAACTCTTATGATCTCCCCAAAAAGAACCAGTAAATCAAGGTGTTAGAAGGCTCATTACCATGGGTATAATATGGTGGAGGGACAGGATAGAGAGGTGAGCTCAGAGTGTGCAATTTCAAGAGTCATTGAGACCTTTATGACGGGGCAGGAATTAATGGCAAATAGGTCTGAAGCCTGGGCATACTGAAGGAAATTCCTAGGAAACTGACATTCACTTCACCCGATATCCCAGTCCATAATCAGGAATGTGCTGGGATTGTTTTGTACCATTTACTTGACCCTGACTAGGACCTAACAAGCAGTCTCTAGATGGAAGAATGGCAGGAAGGCATAAAAAGTTCATGATAACTGGAGAGGATAACACTCATGCCTTGCAGTCTCTTCACTACTCATGGATGCCATCTTCAGTCAAATGCTTCCATGAGAATTCAGGGGGCTTTCGGAACTGGCAGGTCCTTTATGAAAGTGCTCTTGGTTTTACCCTTGCATTGTGAATGCTACACCACTGACAATGCTGAACTTTATTGGAGCCCTGGGCTCCAGAAAAGCAGCAACTGTTAAGATATCCCCCACCCTTTTGAGTTCTGAAAAACAGCTAAAACTGCAAAGGGCCACCCTGCCTTCACATATAAGACCCATCTCCATTTTTCCTCACGACTTCCATAAGACTAACAGATGTCTTCATTGAATACCTGCCTCTATATTACCTCAAGTTTCCCCCCTTTTCTTTGAAATATTCCTTATTAATTAAGTTTCCTTCTTAATGAAGGTTTCTCCTATGGCAACAGTCTGAATACAACCACCTATGTCCAGTACACGATATTTTTGCTTTTGGTTTTATCCTGAGTTGCATGAGAAGTACTGTCAAATAAGAAGAAACACTTAGTTCCACCTAGGTTAAATTTGTTTTATTGTACATATTTCAGATATTCTGAGACTCTGACATACCATTCACATCAAGAGACAAATCAACCAGACAGAAAATAAATAAGGAAACAGAGGCACTGAACAATATATTAGAACAGATTAACTTAACAGATATGTACAGAACACTCCACCCAAAAGGAGCAGAATACACATATTTTCTCAAGTGTACATGGAACATTCTCCAGAACAGGTCATATAGTAGGCCACAAAAGGAGCCTCAATAAATTCAGAAAGATTGAAATTGTATTAATCAACATCTCAGATCACGACGGTATGAAACTAGGAATAAATTACAAACAAAAAACAAAAAAGTGTACAAACACATGAAAATTAAACAATGTGCTTCTAAATAATCAATGGATCAATGAACAAATTAAAACAAATCAAGCAATACATGGAAACAAATGAAAATTAAAATACAACAGTCCGATTTATGTAGGACACAGCAAAAGCAGTAGTTCTAACAGAGAAGTACATAGCAATACAGGTCTACCTCAAGAAACAAGAAAAATACCAAATACAGTCTAAAGAACAAATGAAATCCAAATTTACTAGAAGGAGGAACATAATAAAGGTCACAGCAGAAATAAAAAACATAGAGAAGAAGAAAACAACAGAAAAATATCAATGAAACCAAGAGCTAGTTCTTTGACAAGATAAACCAAATAGACAAACCCATAGCCAGACTTAGAGTAGAATGATGATATAGGAAGTAATCTGCTTATACTTCTTCCTAAAATTCGCTTGAATGGAAGCTTCAAGAGGGCAGGGTTCATAGTCGGTGCTCAGTAGAAATTTGCTCAATAAAGTAATTGGGCATTAGGAAATATCTTTTCTAATAGTACATCTGACACTGCCTAGTTGTGTGAGATCTTCAGTAATCATTAACCCACCTCTGGACCTCAGTTTACCTGTAGAATTGGGGGAGGAGGATTGCTGAACTAGCTTAGTATATTCTTTCTCTCTTATTAGTTTACGTAAAGTGCTTAGAACAATTCTGGGTACTTGGTAAACACTCCGAAAGTATCAGCTTCTTTTCTCTTTATCTGCAAATTCAATTCTTCAAGCAAATTGTTACATGCTTCGATTGAGACTTGGTAGATGGGAGATACTGAGGATTAAAAAAGCATACTTTGAAAAATCCTAAGATCTGACTTGGGGTTCCCAAAAGCTCACCGATGTTATGATAACTGTGTAGAAATCAGGGCCCTGGGCTCCATTAGAGATTGAGATTCATTTGATCTAAGATGGTTCCGGAAACTCTGGATAAACAAAGGTTCCAGGTGATTCTGATATGAAGCTATATTATAGGAATAACTGAACTACATGCTTTCTAAGGTCCCTGTTAACACTGACATTTTATTTTACATTTTCTTTTGTAGTTAATCAGGAACGATAATTTCAAACTGAAATCTTTTTCCAAAAATTAGGTTCTATTGATAGGGAAAATTTACAAGGACAGCAACCTAGCAGGTGGCTCCACTCAGTCTCGCACCCCTCCCTCCTCAACATAAACAACACTACAAGGACAGTAATTTACCAGGTGGCTCCCCTCCACCTCGCCCCCCTCCTCAACCCAAACAAACAGAAACACTCCCTTGGTTTCCCTGGCTGCAGAGCACCAGGTCCCAAGGTTCGCTCCCCAAACTCCCTCCCCCTTGCCTGCTTGCTTGCTGTGTACGTAGGAATGTTACAGATAAGGAAGCAGAAAGGTATAAATTGCTCCCTTTTCCTTTGTTCGGGGCTCAGACTTTTTGGGAGATTACTCCCCTCTGAGCCTGCTGGTGTGAAATAAAGCCTAAACACTCCAAGACCGGGTGCCACTTGGTTTCTTTCTGTCAGTGATCCAGTCCAGGCTTTTCTCAGTATTTTCCATAACATTTGGTTCCCTGGCCCGGAAACCCAACTGCGGTGGCCCTTTGTTGCCACCGGTTTGGGGCAATGGCACGGCTGTGATGGAACAGATCGCAGTGGAGAAGGCGCGCCCTGCCTGACCTTTTGGCAGTCTCCCACCCGGTTGCCCTGGGCCAGCCCTGCTCCGCTGTTCCTGCTGGACTCAAGGAGGCTTGGCATGTGAGGACCTGGTTCTGACACTGAATCCAGTAAGGCCCCGGGGCCCCTGACCCAGCCAGTCCCACCCATTGGGGTGGAAGGAGAGCCTGATCACCTCCCAGGAGACTTATTAGAAGTCTCACAGGTAGACATCCCCAGGGGGGTAATCTTTAAACTCTGGTCTGCCTGGGTGTGTGTGTGTGAGAGTGAGTGTGCAGGGCAGCTGAAGTCATTCAGTCTGCACTGAATCTGTGATTCCATGGCCTGCGCTACAGAATCTGTGTGGGCCCTCATCTGCTTTCGCGGTCAGCGTTCACGGCATATTGGTGATTCAGCTTCGGCTGACCTGGCCTGGGACTTATACGGGTGCACCTTAGCCAAGGCTGACCAAAGTCTCCACAAGGAGTGTGAATGGACCAGCATCTGACTGGTCTCCTCTCTAGAGGAGGCACCCCTCCCTTGTCTGCTGTCGCGGCACCATCCACGGACATGTCATGGGGTCAGGGCATAGTAAACCCACAGTCCTTGACACTATGATCAAAAATTTCCAAAAGAGATTTTTAGAAAACAACAGAGTAAAATTAACTCCTGGCAGGTTGAAAACCCTGTGTGAATCTGTATTGCCAACCTTTAGTGTAGGGTGGCCTCCAGAAGGAACCCTAGATGTCCCAACAATCCGCTGAGCCTGGCGGGTCATCCCTAGAGATCCAGGTCATCCTAATCAGTTCCCATACTTTAACTCCCGGTTAGAAACTCCCCAGACTCTTCCCCCTTGGATGCGATTCGCTTGCAACAGGCAAGGACAGAGTAGGGTCTTAGTTGCCTCAACAATATATATATCATGATATCATTATGCCTCAACAAAGAAGCCTGCAAAGAAACAACAGAAGCCTGAGCCTCCGCATATTTTTACTGGTGACCCAGAGGAAGAGCTAATATCGCCCCCGCCTTATGTGCCTCCCAGGCCATCAGCACCCAGCCCCTGGTCCCTGATACCTCGTCGCCATCAGCCTCCCTGCCAACTCCAGACCAGTGAACCCACTTCCCCCTGGACCAGCAGCCTGACTGCACCCTCAGCTGGGAGCAGATGCCCTTCAGATGCCAGAGAAAGAGATGCAGGGCCTGAAAGCAGTACCCTGTTCACAAGAGAAGAGGCAGATGGGGTCCTTGGTCAGGGTGCATAGGCTGAAATTGCTGTTCCCAGGGAGCACCCCAAGACGGACTTCACCACCCCCAAGGGACAGCACCAGATCCACCAATATCAGGACGCTCTCCTCCAGGAGATCAAAGCGGAGTCCAAAAGGCCTATGAACATGACTAAAGTTTTTTCAGTTACTCAACAACCAGAAGAGTCTCCTGGAGACTATTATGAGAGACTGTGTGAAACTTATCGCATCTACAACCCCTTTCAACTCTGAGTCACCAAGGAGCCAACAATAGTAAACACCACATTCATAGCCCAAGCTGCCCCAGACATCAGATGAAAGCTCCAAAAGCTTGAGTGCTTCACTGAGAAGACTGAAATTGCCAAAAAAAATATATCTAAATGGAGAAGTTCAGGCTGACAGAGAAGCAAAAAGAAAAATAAAGAAAAAGGCAAGTCTCCTGGCAGCTGCCCTGAAAGAGACAGATGGGCAGAAGGCAGAGGGAAGCCAGCCACCTAGAGGGGGGAAGCCCAGGAACCCCCTAGCCAGAGACCAGTGTGCTTACTGTTAAAAAAAAGGGGGGGAAGGCATTAGAAGGATGAATGCCCCAAATGAGGCAAAGCCCCAAAGCCCAGTTGCTGCTGGGAAGAGCCCCGTGAGGAAAGGCTCATTAGCCTGGCAGGAGCAGACTCAGACTGACAAGGACCGGGCACTCTTACACTGGGCCCCCATGAGCCCATGGTAAGAATAAAAGTGAGGGGCCAAAACATGACTTTTATAGTTAACACAGGGGCATAACACTCTGTGGTCACCCTCCCTGTAGCCTTCTTCAGTGAAAAAGACTGCAACTATTCTCGGTGAAAGAGTATCTCGCCACGACCCTCCTTACCCAGGACAACTCAGGAGACACGGACCCATGCAAGAGATTTTTTTATCTGAAAGAGAAAGTGGCTGCCCCAGAGAAAGAGAGAGAGAGAGAGAAAGAGCAGTGGGACAGAGAGACAGAGAGCAGAGAGAGCAGTGGGACAGTGAGACAGAGAGAGAGCAGAGAGAGCAGCAGGACGGAGGGACAGAGAGAGAGAGAGCAAGCAGCAGCACAGTGCAGAGAGTTGTGTCTTTTATTATGGTAGATCCCCTTGGCCTGTTGCCTTGGGGACGGTCGGGATGTTTAAAGATAAGGTAGGGCAGGCCCAGGCATGAATCTCACCGGCTTATGTGCTTGAGACCATGGAATAAATGGAGGATAAATTACTATATTCTTACACTTGGAGCCACAAAGACAGCGGCAGTATCCCCTCTCACAAGAGGCGAGAGCAGGCATCCAGGATTGCCTGATCAGACTCAGAAAGGCAGGCGCCAGTGACCCAGAGAGAAATCAAGGCAGGAAATTAATCTTTAATATTCAAGGACCCCTTGCCATCCTACTCCTGTTACTAACCCTCGGGCCCTGTATTATCTACAGGCTGGTCCAGTTTGTCAGAGACCACGTGGAGGCCGTCCAACTGATAGTCCTCCATGCTCAATACAAGCCTCTAGTAATACTGTTACTCCTGCTTACCTTTAGACCATGTATCCTCAATAGACTGATGACTTTGTCAAAGGTAGAATACAGTCCAGGTAATGGTGCTAAGACAACAGTATCAGCCTTTATCTCCTGACAACTGTGAGAGGTCACGGGATCCCAGAGAACCCCTGGACCCCCGACCCGGAGGGCCCTCTGCCGGCTGGTGAGTGCACTCAATTATCTGTGCATCTTTGTCTGTCTGTGTCTGTTTTTGTTCACGAACAAGCCTGAAGCCTGTATAAGCCTGTAGGAGCTCCAATCCATATCAGGGTCGGCATTGACTTAGGCAGACACGCTGGCAGGTCACTGACCAGGGGTCTTGGGAGATATCCCTTGCCCCTGTCTGGAGGACGAGGTCCTCATCTGTGAGGAAAGTCGACTGCTACTGCAGTCTGACAAGCCCTCAACTTACTTTCAGTTTTGCCTCTGCAGCCGTGGCAGATTCTTCTCTGTAGGCACCTGTTTGTTGTTTGTCGTGTTTGTCTTAGTCTTGTTGTTGACAGAAGAAATGAGACAGATGCAGACGACCCTCTTGTCTCTCATGACAGACCATTTTCCAGACGTTAGGGAGAGGGCTCACAATCTGAGCATGGACGTCAGGAAGAGAAAATTTCGTGTTTTCTGCACCTCCGAGTGGCCGTCCTTTAACATTGGCTGGCCACTGGAAGGAATATTTGATCTAACCACTCTTTTACAGGTTAAAGATATCAGGAGAAGAGCTAACAACCTCAGTGTGGAAGTCTGGAAGGGTCGATAGCAGACTTTTTGTTCTAGCAAGTAGCCAGCTTTCAATGTCGGATGGCTGCCAGAGGGAACTTTATTATGTCTCAGTCTGTATGTTTGTGTGTCTAAGTGTGTAAATGAAAATATCTTTCTACCTCCGGATGGTATTAACGAAATTGATTTAAAGACAAGCACTTGTGAAAACTGGGCATTCTAAAACTCCCAGAAAATTCTAATAGAAAATATTAAGCATTAATGCTAATTTAAGTTAAACTGAAACAGACATGTCCTTATAGTTATCAGCCGCCTAAGTTTACCTAGTCATTTAAGTTGATGTTATCTGCTAAATCTTTCAAGAATAAAATGCTTAGAGGCTTGACTTTGTCTAATATTCAGTAAAGGTTTTGTAAGAACCTAGCACAGTTGTTAGGAATGAGTGAACTAAATAAGTGTGGCAAATGAGCACTTTAATAATTGTGTGTTACAGTGTGTATACCTACCTACAGCCTGAGAACTTTAGCAACCTAAAACCTTAAAGTTTTGCTAAGTTAAAAAGACATACTTTGTGCTTAGTGAGAAGTTGTGCTGTAAAGCTTATGGTTACAGAAATTATAAAATGTGTTCATAAATTTGTCAATCTAAAAAATGTTAGCTTAACAGTTTACAATAGCCTGCTTCTCAGTGTTCACTGAAATTTAAAGTTCCTAATGGTTTAAGTTCTAATTAAAACTACTTAAAGTAATAAGGAAAGCATTTCTCTATGCTAAAAAAATGTATGTTTTAATAAGAGAAGGTATAAAGAATGGAAATTCATTCTGCATGCTAAAGAATGTGTCTTTGATAAAAGAAAGTAACTTTGTTCTAAAGTACAGCTGTTTATTTAGAGGGAGAAATCTAAATGTAAAAAGAAAGTTTTAGAAGAATTTAATATAGTCATGCTATATAAAATTAAAGCAAATAAGTCTCAGTATCAAATACACAGCAAAATTAAAATTTTGTTTTCACTTAAAAAGACAGTCTTCTTAACTGTTAGTCTGCTCTTAATATTGAAAGATTGCAATGAGTTCTCTAATTGTTTTATTAAAGCAGTTTCTCATGCTTTAAGTCTCAGTGAGTTGTCGGAGTATTTTAAAAATATGAGAACTTAATATTAAAAAGACTAAAAGCTAAAGTTTGCTAACAACTGTGTAACCTCTAGTTACATAAGATTAAGTAAACTAAAGAAGATGATTTTGTGTCTTTTTGTCTCAAATGTTGCTGATAAAGTGTTTTAAGCTTCTTCTCTTAAGCTGACAACAGTTTAGTAAATGACTATCTTTATAAGCAGAATTGAAACATTTCTCTTTCTTTCTACCTGATCCCTCCAGAATTTAAAAACTTTCAGTGACTATTTTTATATTTCATCGCAGTATGTTTATTTGCATAAGTTCAATAAGAATCTGCTTTCCTAGTAAGAAGACCAATTAAAAACACTGGTTATACTACCAAGGTTTTGACTAGAATGTCATACCTGAGAAGCATGTGCATAAACTCAGATATGAACAGCTTTAAGGAACTAAGGTTGACTTTATAAAGCCGACAAAGCCCCTTAGAAGAACTGTCCTGGCACCTTGCTTACAGGGTTCCCAGAAGCCTTACCAGGTGAGTACAGAAGGTCACTTCCTGGCAAGTGCAGGAACCTCAGGAATGTCTTGGGAATCTCAAGAAGAGAAGAATTCACCCAAATCTACAGGTACTGCAGGCACAACCTGATGGCAAGTCTGGCTTGGCTTTCTGGCCTCAGGAAGCCTTTAAAAGTTCAATCTGAAATTCTTTATAAAAAGTTCCAGCAAAGCATATTTAAAAGAGCCTATGTAATCAATTGCTCTTCTTGCTGCACTTATGCAAATAATTAAGCCAAGTGTTATTTTCTTAACCTGGTTACTCCAAAAAATGAGGGTGATTTTAGAGAAAAATATTGTTTCAATAATGCAGTGTTATCTGTACTAAATCCTAATACTAGTCGTTGAGATGTAAACTTGATCCAGAATTCTAGTTTCCCCATGATACCTGGCTATGATTCTCAATTAGACTCTTCATATTTCTAGTTCTCATATTCAGCCATGCATTCTTAATCTTGTCAAGTTTGTCCTTCCAGAATAGAAGCGCCAACCTCCTGAGGCCCTCTGAACTGAACAGTGATGGAGACCTAACTGTACCCTGTACTGCACCCCCTCTCAGCATGAAGCAGCCAGAGCGGTCATCACCCTTTTCCCTAGCAGCAGCTTAGGTCTCTATCTGTAGAGGGGAGAATGAGACAAGGACCATAGGCTTAGACAGAATAAGGTTGCAGGCATCACTCCATGAGTCCCATCATTCCAGAGTGAAAAAAGCCTGTCAACCTGACAAAGAAGCACATCAGCAGGAGGCCCAGCCAGACCTCCAGATCCTCTCCGCCTCCGCATTCGACGATTGCCCTATCCTGGCTCTCATCAGAGTAGTGTCTTTTATTCTGGGCATTGGACTCTGTGCTGTTGCACCCCTGGACTGGACTGTTCCTCAGAAAAGTTGCCCTTTCTATTGTCTATTGAGTAATCATTAAGTTGTTTTACTGTGCTTACCTGTCTCTCCTAGTTGGACCCAAGTCTCAGCCTGCATTTCTAAAGTACCTCTCTGTAATATTTAATTGTACAAAAGTCATAAAGTGCATAGTGGGCTAAAGGAAGCTACCTCCTTTCCCCCCGTGAGATTTCCTAGGCGGAAAAAGCTGCCGCTTTACTGATCCCTGCTCTAGTTGGGCTCAGTAGAGCTGGATCAGCTGCAGTAGACACAGCAGCTCTAATAAAGAGACTTAAGGCTCGCTGCCCTAACAGAGGAAGCTGATCAAGATTTAGAGCAGCTTGAAACCACCATGATTCAGCTGCCAGATCAGATTAATTCCCTGGCTAGAGTGGTGTTGCAAAATTGTAGAAGACTGGACCTCCTGTCCATGTCACAGGGAAGCTTATGTATAGCACTTAAATAAACTATTAGTGGAACCCTGTATATTTAACTGGCTCATTAACTTTATCAAGGAGTGCATTTCCTCCATACAGCTAATGTATATGCAGAGCCACTATGACCCTGTCACAAGCCAAGGACATAGATGACGCCCCCTAAACGAAGTGTTTGAACGGGCATCAGAGGGGGGAATGATAGGGAAAATTTACAAGGACAGCAACCTAGCAGGTGGCTCCACTCGGTCTCACACCCCTCCATTCTCAACATAAACAGCACTACATGGACAGTAATTTATGAGATAGCTCCCCTCTGCCTCGCCCCCCTCCTCAACCCAAACAAACAGAAACACTCCCTTGGTTTCCCCTTGCTGCCGAGCACCGGGTCCCAAAGTTCGCTCCCCAAACTCCCTCCCCCTTGCCTGCTCGCTTGCTGTGTACATAGGAATGTTACAGATAAGGAAGCACAAAGGTATAAATTGCTCCCTTTTCCTTTGTTCCGGGCTCAGACTTTTTGGGAGATTACTCCCCTCTGAGCCCGCCGATGGGAAATAAAGCCTCAACAATCCAAGACCTCCGAGTGCCGCTTGGTTTTTTCTGTCGGTGATCCAGTCCAGGCTTTCTTTCAGTATTTTCCGTAACACTATCACTTTTCTAAGAAGATTAAAAACAACTGTAAGTTACTGAGCATCACCTGTCTGCCACATAGTGAGCCAAATGATTTAATGATACGGGCGTACCTTGGACACACTGTAAGTTTGGTTCTGGCTGAAAGAAGCGACACACAGCAGCAATTCACCGGAGAATTCTGCTTTATTAGGGAAACGTGCTGGGTTATATACGAAGGGGCATACGGTGATTATGGTGTTACTTCCACGGGGCTGGTGGCTGTTGGCTAGGTGCTGGGATTGGGAGGAGGGCGAGACGAGATTGGGCTTCAGGTGGCGCCGGCGGAAACCGAGGACCGCGAAGAGAAGCCGGAAGTTTGCCATCTTACTGGTAGGGACCCTTCATTCCCCCCTTTCTCCTCTATGGGGTTGTGGACGTTGCTTTCTCTCTGACTGCTTCCCGCTGAACAGGGGCAGAGAAGGGAGTGAGGGCTTGAGGATTGGGAGGAAAGGGTTGATAGGACTCCCCACAGTAACGATGAGTAGATGTGGACTTCTTCACGTTGGAAATCAATGAAGGTTCCCTGTAACCATAGGTCGAGGACCTGTTGATTCCAATGGTGCCAAGAGGATATGGGTGTCAGGAGCCAGGCGTCTGTGGCCATTGTTTCAAGGAACAGTCTCCAGTGGAGAGAGGGGTCCATCTCAGCGTGTGGTGAGGAGGTCACAAGAGGGTGAGGGATCTTCTCTGGCCAGAAGCTGGTAGTTCCTGAGTAAAAGCTGGTTGAAAGCTTGATTAGAGATTTTTCCGACTTGGGATTTGATGAACTTTATTATACAGGGTAAGAAGAGACAGGCGAGAAGAATGACTATTATGGGGCCTGCAATGGGCCAGACCCAGGTAAGGAGAGGGTTTGTTAGTATTAAAGAGAATGGGTTGGAATTGGAAGCAGAGTGGAGACTGGAGGCAAGGTAAGTGAGTTTGGTGATGTCAGTTTCTACAATGATGGATTCGTTGATGTAATAAGAGCACTCTTCCCGGAGGAAGACACAGGTGCCGCCCTTCTCGGCTGTAAGCAGATCTAGGGCCTTCCAGTTTTGAAGGGTGACTTTAGCTAGCGAAGTGACCTGTCTTTGTAGAGAGGCTAGGGAATCGGCGGTGGATGTCAGGGCTCTCTCAAGTTTGGCGTCGAGATCTCTAACTGCCCATAGAGAGTGACCCAAAGCTCTTCCCGAAAACCCTGCCCCAATGGCTGAGGTGATCAAAGAGATACCGACCATGATGGGAAAGAAAAGCAGCCCTTTTTGGTGAGCGAGGGCAAGGGAGGTTGGAGCCAAGAAATTCTGCCATGCTGTAAAGTGTAAGCTGTGGGATTAGGGTGATGAGAATGCAGGGTGTATGGGAGTTGAGAGGCAGTGAGTTGAAAAGACTGCCATTACACCAAAAGAAGTGTCCCGGTGGTGTAAAAGTCTTACAGCTGGAGGTAGGGGTGTAGGTAGAGAGGCAGTGAAGTGCGCTGGAGGGGGGTGGAGTTGGGCCTACACAGTGGTGGATGGTGAGATTACCTGCATATTCTGGTTCTCATAGGGGTATGTCTGCCAGGGGGTGGAGGGGTTGTCCTTCTGCATGGAAGGAGTACTTGGAAATATTAAGGGGCACGGCGGCCAGCAGTGGGCGCTGTAGTGATGCGCACAAGAAACAATTGGCGGTGTTGAGGGTGTGGTTGAGAAAGATGGTGGTGTCTTGAATGAGCTGTAACCAAGAGAAGGAGGAATAAGAAGATGAAGAGGCGCCATCAAGAGTTTGGATAATGACCTTTTCGGAATGTCTGATATCTGATGCAACTTGAGAGATCTGGGAGTGAGAGGGAACATACTCTCGAGAGATATGAAGGGTACCGTGGGGGGTTGAGGACCCCATGTAGTAAACTGAGGCTGTGACTCCAGCGGCCCATCGAGAGTCCCAGGGATCTGGCATTGATATGGAGAATGAGCCGTTGAGATATTTCATAAAACGTTTGGAGGAGTAATACTGTGGGTACTGGAAGTCACCCATGTAGTGAATGGCGAAAGACCAGTAGGGACATGCCCCGTAGGTGTCTTGCCATCGCTTATAATAGGCTTGTTTTTGGTCATAGAGGAAGCAGAGGTAAGGAGAATAAAGGTAGCTGTAAGTGAACACTTCAGTGGAGGGAGGAAAGTGGAGGTACAAAGGCTCAGAGCAGCCTTTCAGAGGGCAGTCTGATGTGGCAATGAGGGCAGTAACTTTTGTTTGATGCTGTGTGTAAGTCTGTGTAATTTTAAATCGCCATACAAAGGAGGCTGGGGTGGTAGGGAACACAATAGGAATGAGGAAAAAAAGCGAGAGAGCGGTAAAGGAGGAAAAAGTCATGATTCAGGTATCGATGGCAAAGGGGGTGAACGGGAGATGCGGAGCTTCAAGGGATCAGAGGGATGAGGCGTGGTAGACTAGACAGCGTCTTGGGCTGTATCCGAAGGACTCTGGATTGTGACTGATGGGTCTTGGGTGTCCAGAGAAGGTGGGTCCTGGGTATTGGGTTTCAACCTGGAGATATGAATCCAAGGGGTGACAGAGTTATCAGGCAGTGAGAGCTTGGCGGCCGAGGGGGTGCAGAGAATAACTGGGTGTGGACCTTCGCATTTTGGGGTGAGAGAGGGCCGATCCTCTGGTGGCTTATAAAACACTAGTTGGCCGGGCTGTAAGACAGGAGGATTTTGGGAGGCGGATGGATCAGGAAAGAGCCAATCCTGATATTTCCACAATTCAGTGCGGAGGAGAGAGAGTAGTGAAAGGGCCATACTAGGAGAAATTGGTCCTTTGAGAGAAGGGAGCCCCGGGGGTAGAATCAGGCGGCCGTACATGATCTCAAAGGGCGACAAGAAGGAGGGTTTCTTTGGGAGGGCCCGAATGTGGAGTAGAGCTAAGGGAAGTAAGCGAATCCAGTCAAGGTGTAGTTCTAGAGATAGTTTGGTCAGGATGTCCTTTAGAGTCTTATTGGCTCTTTCCACTTTTCCAGAAGCTTGTGGTCGATAAGGAAAATGTAAATGCCAGGGGAGCGACAGCGATTTGGAGAGGATCTGGATAATTTGGGCAGTGAACTCAGGGCTGTTATCTGATTGGAGGGAAGTGGGCATCCCGAACATAGGAAAGATCTGGGTGAGGAGGATAGAGGCAACTACGGACGCTCTTTTGTTAGTGGTGGGGAAAGCTTCAACCCATCCTGAAAATGTATCTACTAACATGAGTAGGTATCTGAAACACTGTACAGGGGGCATGTTAGTGAAGTCTATTTGCCAATCTGCACTGGGGACATTATCCCTTGCTTGATGAGCCGGGAAGGGTCGGGCCTTGAGGGGGGTATTAGGGTTAGTGCATTGGCAGATGGTGCACTTGCAGGTGATTTGGTTAAGTAGGGTTTTTTCTTCAAAAGAGAGAGGAAAAAAGATTATAAAAAATGGATCAAGGATTGGGGACTTGGATGGAACAGATCATCTGAGAGGAGGAAGAGAGACTCTTTGTCCTGGGATCAGAGGGTGTCTTGTGATAAGGCTAAAAGTGCAAGGGCAGATGGATTGATGTCTGGTGTGTCTTCTGATAGGGCAACTGACCGCACTACTCTGTCGGCATTGTTGTTACCTCTTGCAATGGGGGAGTCATCCTTTTGATGTGATTTGCAGTGGACTATGCCTA